CCCTCTGAAGCCATTGTATGGGACTGATAACGCCTAATAACGTCCATTTAATGGACTGATAACATCAGAATCCCCTGGTAATTCAATTCAAGATGGCCACTACAGCTAATCACGTTAGCCAAACACAAAAATMACTATGTTACAAATATTGAGCCGATAGCAGCTGATAGTATGAAAGTGAAAGAAAAACATTGTTATGCGTGTTTGTTACCAGGTTGTGTGCCTAACCATACAGAGAATGTTCAAATGCATGGAAAAGGTTATTAATGAGGAACCACACAAAACCAAGAGCGCTCTCTGCTGAAGTCTGCTTTAATCAAGTGACCAAGAGTTCAGACCGACAACAAGGAAGTACATTTAGTTTTAACAAAAGCTCCAAGGCATGGCTCCGCCTATTTTGATTAAGTCATCAACAAGGAGGGTCCCTATACTTCGAAGCCACGCCCCCAGACATTATGATCTTTTCTAATGAAGKTTTAAAAGTTCAGTTATGTGTTGAYTTTGTTTTCAGGCATGTAGATATTAATATAAAATCATCAAGTTYAGCAAAACTGTCACATTTAACAATCTTWACAGTTCRKTRATAAAACTATACCATGTGTYTGTAATTAAATCAGTTTATAAACCTAAATCCCAATCATTTCTTCASAAGTATGATAGTATTACACAATAAAGCCACAACTCCATTATTTCTTAACACCTGATGTTTTATTCTAAAACTCAGTCTCAATCCTTTAATTTTGTTCKTTTAAMGTAAATATCTGTAACTTCTAATGAAAACCGTATGTGTTAAATGTGAATAAACACATGATGTTTGCAGGAAACTAATTTTCAGAGTGAGATTGGAAGGAGACCACAACTGCTCCTATTTTATTGTCCCTTTCATTTAAAATTAGAGTTACAGAGTAATTACTGTCACGGTGGAGAAAAGGTGCTCGGGTGTTGAGCMAACTCTTCTCACACCTGTAATTAGGGGAGAAAAGGAGACTCACCTGTTTGCAACAAGCCGGCTGCACTGTCTGTTACTTTGAAATCCAGCTGGATGTCGGTCAGGACACCTGCAGACAGGAGAAAACAGACACGTGGTTTCAAGGCTAAATAAGAAACACTGCAGTCTGTCAGGATTACAGCTGAATTACTTATTTATAATCTGTGACTTCTGATCGTTTCAAGGTGACGTGTTTTGGAAAGGTTCATCTTTTTCTGTGCCTGAGAACACATTTTTAAGTGTTTCAAGTCTCTTCCCACGACAAAAAAAAAAAAAAAACTGCAAGAAAAACACAAGCCTGTCATTTTGTGGTTCAGATCTGGGAGTTACAAAAATGTCACTTTTCCAGTTCAGAGCAGAAAAAAAACATCGTCCTTATCTTTATTTCCTCCTGACGCTCAGATCCTGTTCACTGAAGATCAACTGTTTTTTTACATATGTCTACAAACTTTTTTTTTGTTTAACTTACCAAAAACATACTTTCCCTGTGTTTTATATCACAGCTCAGGGCTACTCAACTAAARRGCTCCAGGGGCCACYGTTACTGCAGGCCAACAGCTCAGGGGCCGAACATKCAGTAATTAAACTTATTATGTAAATAAACCAAGGATTACAAAGATATGTTACCTTTGAAWTAGTTTATTTTTGCTGCATTTAATCATGAATACAACATACAGAACCCTGTGTAATAACTAGGGGTGTAAGAAAATATCGATACACTGAAATATCGCGATATTTCATTTCC